GGTCGTCTTGGGCTCGCGGATACGCATGATACAGCGGCGAAACGCTTGGAGAAGGACAAATGTCAGCATCCTTGTGATGAGAAAGTCACTGATGGAGCATGTAGTACCTTGGGGTTGTACTCGGCATTCCTCGCGTGCAGGGCAATCGTCTTGAGGTCCAGGCGGCAATCGAGATTGACCGTGGCAACGATGTTCCTTGACGGGAGGTAAGCATCACGTTCAGACAAGATGCTCTTCATCAAGTTGATACTCACTGAAGCGTGGGTGTGAGGCCACTACCGCCCACCAAGGCACCAGGCGTCGCAGCGGGGGTCGCGGGAGTCACCCCATTGCCGTTTGCGACCTGCTGGTTGCTGACCTGACCGTTGGGAGCCAGGGGAGCAAACTCCTGGGCGCCGCCGGGGAAGGACAGAGAGCCAGGCGCAGTGAAGGCCTTGGCCTGCTCAACCGTGGTGGGATGAGTGGTAATGTTGGAAGTCTCCATGATGGCGACTGTTTCCTTGATGCTCAAAGACGTGAATGCTTTGTGGCTGAGAGCTATCTGCATAACTGATTAGCACAATGCATCTTAAAAGGCATGCGCGGTAGATACCGGCGATGGCTGTAATTTGATTGTGCTGGAATCCGTTGTGTGGAGGTAACGGGCGCAGAAGTGCCGGTTGCAGGATGCATTGGGCGACCTGATATAGAGGTCGCGAAATTCACCAAGCAACGGGAAGGAGCTCGAGACGGCAGGAACGCGTTCTCTTCCAGACAACAGGTGTCGTTGACCAGGATGCCAGGCAACGAGGCTACTCGGCGGCGTGAGGAAGAGGAAATAAGGCACCTACCAAAAGTGGGAGATGAACAAGTGAATGTCTCCCCTACAGTGAAGGCTCAAAAATTCCGGATGCCAAGTCGCGAATGCGCTCAGCAAGGCAGATGATGGAGATAAAAAAGGAATCGGCGGTATGTCGATTCGCAAGTGTCGGCGCAAGGCGTTCGGGTTTCCAGATACCACCTTGACGTTTGCGGACCACGTCACTTCTAATGCACGAAAATCTTCTATTCGAGAGAACAGGGCGCAAAGCACGGAATGTGTCTACAGAGCGCGGCGACCTTGGGCGACGAGATGGGGGTGCGGGCTCTGGTTCGAGTGCTTGCCGATTTCGTCGTCGAGGAAGGTATCGCGCGCGCGAATGAAGGAGAGGCCTTGGTAGTCAAAGAAACGTTTTTCAGTTTACTTTGTCGACAAGTTGCTCGACGTCGGGTCGATTCGGGCGGCTTCAGTTAAGAAGCGCGAGAGATCTTCGACGGAGATTTGTTTTGTGATTGTTCGACGTCTAGTCGTGGGGGTGGAGGAGGGGTACGAGTAGACGGACGGTGACGATGGATGAATGTCGTGATGATTATGTGACGCTGGGTCAGTGTCGAGGTCGGATGGATGCTTTTTTTGTGGAGACGGGAGAGGGAAAAATAAAAAGGCCGAACGTAGAGGATACAATACGTAGGGCAGGGGTCGTAGATTCCGGTACGAATTCGGCCTGGAGGCGGGCAGGAGGGGAGGGCGACTACTTATAATTTCGAGGCAGTTGCCCCCCCAGGCAGCAAGTTGTGGTGTGGCGCCCACTAGCGTTCGCGCTACCGTCGATGCACCCAATCAGATGGCGTAGTTGCGTTTTTTTCCTGCACCAGCCCCTAGGATCCGCACCGTGGTAGCCCGTATCCCGCCAGAGGTACCGGTACAAGATCGATAAGCCTCTGCTTAGCTTATGGGCGACGAGCCAATCCCAGCAACGCGTCGGCCGTGGCGCGCATCCATCCATGGCATCATCTCCCCGTCCGGCGGTCACTCTGAAAATCTCTTCCTCCACCCTTTCTTCTTCTCCCCCTTTCCTTGTTCCGGCCCTTGCTGCTTCCTGGGCGGACCACCCAGCGAGAAGCGAGAGAGCGAGCGAGGAGGAGAGGGTTACGAGTATCGATTCTTCACCTGCTTCTTCCTTTCCTTCTCTCTTTCTCTCCTATGCTTCATCTTCGTTCGCATCCTCTTCTTTATGTCGTCTGCATCACCCCTCCTCGTAATCCTTACAATCATCATCGTCCTCTCTGACCAGCTTTCCAAACGATGCCTCCCTCTTCCATCGTTTCCCACTGGTCCACTGCATCGCATCGCGTTGCAGCTGCCTCGCATGTGCCGTGCCCCAGAGACTGGACTGGACCACGACGCGCTGGGGGCGTCTGTCGTGTCAGCACCAGTAACGAACGCCGACCGACTCCAGCTCGCAGTCCCGCCGCGCGAGCGAGTCGACGACCGACCATCGGCGTGATGGCCGCTCCAACAGTCCCCCCCCCCAGCCGCTATCCCCCTGCGCCAGAAGGGGGCCCAACCACCCCCCGGCATCCACTCTGCCCTTCACTTCTGAAACGATGGGTCGGGGCCCCCTTTCTTCCTTGTTGATGCCTCTACTTTCTGTTGATCTCCGACTCTTCTGAGCGATCCCACTCCTCTGCTTCTCATCTCTTTCACACACAACTCTTACCTGCAGACGACAGCCCGCTCCCTCCCCCTGGAAGACTCCTCCGGTCTCCTGGACTACGCCGCTTCCGTCGACGATGGCACGTCGCGTCGTCTCCTCAGTTCAGCTGGCCAGGCGAGTATCGTGACAGCATGGGGCAATCTTTCCAGGTGCATCACCAAGAAAAACCCGACCGTACTGGCATCCATCCATGTCTCGTCAACCGACATTTTGGTTGATCACCAGACAAAGCATCTCACCTGGTTTCGGCCACTCGCGGGTTTACGCTGGGCAGGTGGGCGGCGGCGGCACAAGCCAACGAGCCAACGACCGAGGCTCCTGGTCCAGTGTGAGTCATTCCACTGAACCATGAACCGCAAAAACCCTGTGCGCGAGTCTTGACTTGCTCGCCACACCACTCCAGCCCGCCACCATGATCAGGAGCTTTTGCAAACACCACGAGAGATGGCTCCCCCCCTCTTACTCCTCGCTGGTCGAACGTTGGTCACACAAGCACGCAGCACGCAACACAACTAACCTATGTTTCTCATCACAGCCCGACCGCGTCCAGGCCGTTTGGCAGATGAAAAGAGTCGGGGGG